AAAAAAAAAAAAAAAAGAGGCAGGTGATCCAGCTATCTTCGGCTGAAAATAGAAGTAAATAATTAAATAAATAAAATTAATTTATTTATTTTTATTTATTTAATGTTTATAATTTTCATTTGCTGGTTTGTTTTTTGCTCTTCTGCTGCTGCTGCAGCAGCAGCCCGGTGTCTGTGTGCGGGTCACTGGTACGGCGCTGCTGCTGCAGCGTTGCTGCTGCAGCACTGCAGCAAAAGTATATAAATAAATAATTTATTTAAATATATTAAAAATAAAAACAAAAATTATGCTTGTTGCAGCAAACAAACAAATGTTGCTGCTGCTGCTGCTGCATACTGCTGGCTGCAGCCGGAAGGCACGGGGCCCCCCACCCCGCTTCAGGGGGGCCCCCCAGGGGGCCCCCCAAAGAGAAAGAATAGATGTTTATAAAAAAAAGAAAAAAGAAAGAATAGTTGTTGTGTTTACGACTCAAAAATGCTAGTTTTATGCATGCAGCTCTCTCTCTGGTTGTTGCTGTAGTGGCTTTTGTGTGCCGCTGTTGCTGCAGCAAGCTCCTGAGCAGCAGCAGCAGCAGCAGCAGCAGCAGCAGCAGGAGCAGCAGTAGCAGCTGGAACAGCAGCATACACTGCAGCAGTAGCTGCAAATGTTGCATGCTCAGCAGCTTGTTTCTCGTTGATAGCTCTGGGGTGTACAGACACATGCTGCAGCAGCAGCAGCAGCAGCAGCAGCAGCAGCTTCTCCGCCCTTCTCTTTTGCTGCTATTCTTCTAATTTATTTGCTGCATGCATTGTTAACATTGTTCTGAGGAGGAACCCTCAAAGCAGCAGCAAGCGCAGCAACACCGGCATCAGCAGCAGCAGCAGCAGCAGGAGCAGCAGTCACTGCAGCAGCGGCAGCAGCAGGTGCAGCAGAAGCAGCTGCAGCAGTAGCAACAGCAGCAACAACAACAAGAGCAGCAGCGGGAGCAACCGAAGCTTCACAAGCAGAGACAGCAGCAACATCAGCAGCAGCAGCAACATCAGCAGCAGCAGCAAGAGCAGCAGCAGCAAAAGCAGCAGCCAGAGAAGACACAAAGATGGCTGCAGCGGCCCGCTGTGTGTCCCCCTGAACACAGATGCTGCAGCTGCAGCAGCCACCAGCAACAACCTCACCATTACCTGCAGCAGTTGCAGCAGCAGCAGCAGCAGCAGCAGCAGGAGCAGCAGCAGCAGCAGCAACAGCAGCAATTCCCGCTGCATCCCTGCTGCAGCAGGAGTTGTCTGATTTGCTGCACAATCATCATCTATATCTGCAGCCCATTTCCCTTCCTCTACTCCCTCCTCAGCAGCAGCAGCAGCAGCAGCAGGAGCAGGAGCAGCAGCAGCAGCAGCAGCAGCAGCAGCAGCAGCAGCAGCAGGATGAAATTTGGATCGAAGCTACGCAGCTATGCTGTGCCTGAGTGGCAGCAGCATTACGTCGACTACCAGTACTTAAAAACTCTGCTGAAGCAGCAAAAAAAAAAAATAGAAACTGCACAGACACCAGGATATCTAGCTAAGCTGCTGCCTGCTAGCTGGCAGTAAGTCCTCCTCCTGCTGCTGCTGCTGCTGTTGCTGTTGCTGCTGCTGCTGCTGCTGATGAGGATGATGATGATGATGATGATGATGATGTTGCTGCTGCTGCTAGTGCTGCTACTTGCGGCGGTGCTGCTGCTGCTGCTGCTTCTGCTGCTGGTGTTGCTGGGCGCCTCTTTTGGCTGCTAAGGCTACTCCTGCTGCTGTTGCTGCTGCTGCTGCTGTTGCTGCTGCTGTTGCTGCTGCTGTTGCTGTTGCTGCTGCTGCTGCTGCTGCTGTTGCTGCTGTTGGTGGGTGGGCGTAGCTGCTGCAGCTTCTCTTTTTTTATTTTTAGGGTTTAGGGTTTAGGGTTTAGGGTTGTTTGTTGCTGCTGCAGGCAAACCCCTGAAAGGGGGTCGAGCGCAGGCGACGGTGCGTTGCGGTGTCTGTACACCTGAGCTGTTTGTTGCGGTTTTTTTTTTTTTTTTTTTTTTTTTTTTTTTTTTTTTTTTTTTTTTTTTTTTTT